CAGCTCTAACTCTGCCTTTTTGGTGGTTAGCTGGAGATAAGAGTCTCACAGCCTTTCCTGCCCAGGTTAGCTTTGAACTATGATGCTAGATCTCAGCCTCTTGAATAACTAGGATTACAGTTGTGAGCCACCGACACCTGGCTGCTATTACAATGTATTTCTAATTGAAATAACATAGAATAAAACACCAGGAAGTTAGAAAAAATGAACTTTCTTTCAAAACTGAAGGGGACCTCAGAGATGAATGAACAGGCTTAGATAAACTTAGAAGTTAACCAATTATGATTATCAAACACTTGGAATGCTTCTGAGGAGATGGGAAAAAAGTAACTTTTTTGGGGGGAGCAAAAGTGACTGTTAAAGTAAATGTTGTAAAACATTTTATAGTTACTAAGGATGCAGAGAGGACTGTTCCAAAAATACTGTTTATGTTAATACATGGGGCTGTACCTATCTGTAGATGTATCTGTGTTTAATTTAGCCAGTACATTCTTAGGGACTATTTGCAGACAACTAAAGCTATCTTCTTTTCTTTTCTTTTTCTTTTGTCGGTTGTGGGGCTTGAACTCTGGGCCTAGGCGCTGTCCCTCAGCTTTTCAGCTCAAGGTTAACATTCTACCACTTGAGCCACGGTGCCACTTCCAACTAAAGCTATTTAGCAAGTCACGTAAGTGACCTGCTTTTTAAGATGTCTTAGAACTCAAAACAAGGTTTGTTCTGTATCTTAGAGAAATGATCTAACCTGGAGAGTCAATGTGGGTAGTAGAGTTCCACTGCTTACATCCAAATCCTGACTCTACCTCCACTGCTTGAATTTGGACAAGTTTCTTGACATCCCTTGACCGCATATGTAAAGCGAGGACAACAGTTAGGATTAAGCATCATTAATCTGAAAATATAAAGTCCAAAATGCTCCAAAATCTGAAAATTTCTGAGTGCCAACATGATGCGCCAGGTGGAAAATCCCACATCTAACTTGGTGCACTGGTAAAAAATGCAGGTTCACCTAAAACACCGCTATGTGATATGAAATAACATTTGGTGTTTAGAATGGGGTCCCATCCCTAAGACACTTCATTATGTTTATGAAATAATTCTAAAATCTGAAAAATTCAAAATCTGAGCATTCCTGGGTAAAGGATATTTTGGATAAACAATAAAGTACCTACTTCATGTATTAAATAAAATAATGTACATCATTCTCTTGGCTGGGCATACATGTATTAACTGTTAGGAATCCTGCTGATCTGGTTTGGGAGATTATGACTGTTATTCTCAGGATCACCTATGATGATCCCTTAGGCTGATGGTGATGTGAAGATGCCATGGGTGGTACTACTCTGGGGTCATTAAATGTTTACATGCCTTTTTCTATGGGGCTGGCAACTCAGTGAGAACACAGACAGACATTAATCATCTTTGCTAACAAAATACATTTATGGAAACATTTGCTCACAACCAAATAAGCTACTCTGATTTATTTCTTACTGGAAATTTTAGTTTTAGTTAAGGTGCACACTGTTGAATTGAAAGCTACCTTTTTTTCAATTAAAAGAATATGCCAAGTAAAGTCTTGATCTACAATACTTTGGCTTACATAATATTACTGTCTACTTTTTTTTTTTTTTTTGGTGTTGGTTGTGGGGTTTGAACTCAAGGCCTGGGCACTGTCCCTGAGCTATTCAGCTCAAGGCTAGTGGTCTACCAGTTGAGCCACAGTTTTCTGGTGGTTAATTGGAGATAACAGTCTCATGGACTTTCCTACCAGGGCTGGCTTTGGACTGCAATCCTCAGATCTCAGCCTCCTGAGAAGTTAGGATTATAGGCCTGAGTCACTGGCGCCCAGCTTTCTCTACTTTTAAGAGCACCTGGATCCTAACGTATTTCCCATGGGGGGAGGGGAGATGATTATACTGGGATTTGAGGCTAAAATGCCACCAGGTTGAAAGCCAAGAATACAACTTTTGGTTCAAAGTGAAAATTAACTGCAAGGTAAAATCAACACTATTTTTAGTTGATGAAAGCTTTAATTCACAATATGATCAGCCCTGAAAATAGGCACTCTATGCTTCTGACATTAAAGGGCTCCATAAACACAATCTGGCCTGAGGTGTATTTAATCAGGATGAGAAATATGATATTCTAAGAAGCTAAGAAAGTTTCTATTTTCATATAGGCTACTTAACATAAACATCAGGGGCAGGAAACCAGTAAAATGGACCAAAGGCAGCGTTTTCTAAGTTTCATTTTAAGAAGCATACAAATATTTAACTCAATTGTTCACTCCTAATCTATTCAATGGCTTTATTATTGCTATCAGATATAATTTCACAGTCACTCAATTTTGAGCATTGAATGAAACTCTGATCACAGATCTGGTGTATTTCAAATGATATTATACAAATAATACAATATTTATGCTGATTAGAACACTGAAGTAGCTGGACTCAGGTAATTTACTTAATAGTACTAAGTCAGATATGCCAAATTAATTTCATAAACATGCTTATGAAAATCTCCAAAATGATTACAGGGCCTAATGATTAAAATTTTCCCCCATTTTCTCATTTATTGGTAACACAATTTAGATCTGTATACATTTAGAATATAAGATTCCCAGAATTATAGAACCAGAAAAACCCTTCAGTCAACTGTTATCATTTTCCAAGCATGAGAACAGAAGTTTAGAGAAATTAGGGGAATTTAGTGGTTGAAAGTCTGTGTAATAGCAGGGTGCCAGTGGTGCATGCCTGTAATCCTAGCTACTCAGGAGGCTGAGATCTGAGGAAAGCAGTTTGAAGCCAGCCCAGGCAGGTAAGTCTGTGAGACTCATATTTTCAATAAGCTACTCAGAAAAAGTTGGAAGTGACGCTCTGGGAAAGCACCCAGGTCCTGAATTCAAGCCCTAGTACCAGAAAAAAAAAGCCTGTACTCTAGTGTCAGACTTAAATTCCAGTCTGAATTTATTTGCTGTGTGACCTTGAGAGAGTTAATTAATCTCTTTAAGCCTCAGTTTCTTCATCTGTAAGTGGGAGTAACAATTACTCAAGGGCACATTGTAATTACTCAGTGAATGTTTGCAGCTAGCATATTACAAATAAAGTGACTCTCAAGTAGAGAAAACAGCAACAACCATCTATACAGTATCTAAGATAGACAATCAGTTGATATTGCATCAAAGAGATGAAGACTATTTTAGTCTTTTTGCTTTGGAATTCATCAATATATTATTAGTGATTACATACAGAAGTTTCATTTCATGAAGTCACACTTTTTTAGCTTCCCATGAATAGTGGATATTGTGCATTTATCTTTGTAACTAGCTTAATTGTATACTTTTACAACTTTCCCACCAAAAGATGTTCATGTAAAATTAGTGAAAGGAGGTACTGTCCACAAGTAAGAGATTTATTCCTTAAATTTGACTTCAGCTAGTTTTTCTATTGACTAAATCTAACATTCTGATTTTGGACTATTGCTCAGATATTGCCATATTCTCTATACACTTGCTGTGTACTCTTGGTATACATCTTCAAGAAGAAACGAGGCAGTCTGAAAGGAGAAGCTGTGGTCATGGGTAGGGTGTAGTTTTGGATATAGGTTCCTGGAGATCCAGTAGCCACTGATCATGGACATTTGGAATTGCCCTTTTTGTTGTTTACTGTTTTCCATATTTCATTCTACTTAGAACTGAATGTTTTTCTTTCACTTACTTATTTTTTTCTTTTTTGGGTCCGGTCGTGGGGCCTGAACTCTGGGCCTTGTCACTGTTCCTCAGCTCTTCAGCACAAGGCTAGCGCTCTACCACTTGAGCCATGGCGCCACTTCTGGCTTTTTTCTTTTTGCTTATGTGGTGCTGGGGAATCGAACCCAGGGCCTCAGGCATGCAAGGCAAGCGCTCTACCACTGAGCCACCTTCCAAGCCCCATACTTACTTATTTTTAAATTTTGTGCTGGTACCAAGTCTTAAACTCAGGGCCTTGAGCTCTCAGCTTTTTTACTCATCATTGGAACTTTATTACTTGAGCCATACACCTCCAGTCAAGCTTTTCTGCTGATTAACTGCAGTCTCATGGACTATTCTGCCAGTCTGGCTTTGAACTGTGTGATCCTCAGATGTCAGTCTCCTGAGTAGCTAGGATTGCAGATATGAGCTACCATTGCCCAGTTAAATGTAAAGTACAGCATAATTAAGAAATCACATACAATATTTGTTTTATAGCGTACATTACTGATTCTTGTGCTTTTGATAACTTTTAGTTTCTTGGCAGTGTTGTCAGTAATGTTGTCAGACTGTCAAGTGGATGCTTAAAAACATTTTTTTTTTTTGGTGAAATAAACTAAAGACCATCTGTGTCTCCCTCCCCCATGGTATAACCCCTGTTTTCACTGTATTTGATGTTGGTATAATTTGTGGAGGGGAAGAGAAAAAACAAGTCGTTTAAATAGGGATACAGGTGGACCCATTGCAACAATGAGATGTACAAATCATTATGTGGAAAAACGAACTTTACAACTTTGGGTGGGGGGGTGGGGGGTGGTAGGGGAGAAGAAGAAGGGATGGGAAGGGGAAACAAAGGAGGCGGCAACAATGCTTGATAAGAAATGTGCGCATTATCTTGCCCATGTAATTGTAACCCCTCTGTATGGTATTTTCACAATTAAAAAAATAAAAAAAGGATCATCTGTGTCCTAATCTGGAGAAGTATCTGTATTTATAATATCTGCATCTATGTCTGTCTACATCTACACATAATTGACTTTTAATCCCTTAAAAATAAGAGCAAATGTAATCCTGTACAACTGTATCAAAGAGACATAAGTTACAATAAGACCAAGTGTAAATATGAACAAAATGTAAACACCTTTTTATGTAACACCAATGTGATTCAGCAGACCAACGGAGAAAGAGAATAGTAATCTGAAAGGTAGCAATTTGTACCCATACCCAGTATTTAGTATTTCAACTACAAGGAATAATAAGAGTTTGGCAAACTTACCCTCATTTTTGCGCAAGCATCTTGGGTGGATTCTGTCCCCCTGAGCTCTTTTATCAGCATAGAACCTAAATACTAAAATACAAAAAAAGAGATTGATTTATTACAAGGCAAGTATAAATATGAGTCATGATCTAAAAACAAACTCTTGTCAATACTGGTAGCTATAAGTTGAAGAAAACTTAAAAAATTATAGTAACTAATCCTTGTAAACAGATGCATTTATAGAGAGAATGCAGCAGAACTCATCATAAGTTTGTGGGGGGGGGGGCTATAAACTGCTCTTTAGAATGAAACTACAGCATTTTCTAAAGATGTCATCTTTCAAATCATATTTAATTACAAAATGGGAGCATCTAAAAATGTTTTCCCATTTTTTTGAGGCAGCAATGTCTGCAAAAATAAATCACACTACTTTCTGTGTAATTACAGGCTTGTATGAGACAGCTGAGAAGCTAAGCAACATGTCCCCCCACTTGGGCTTATTTGGCAGCATAGGTAATTAATGTTAGGCTGTTCTTAGGCAGAGATGCAGTTTTGGACCTTTTTCATTCACAGCTGTGTGCCCTGTGTTGATCCACCTGAGAACAGGATTGGCGTGGACGGGGAGTAAGACTGTCATACTCAGTTTCACAGCGGACAGGACTGAGTCCCTGGGGCAAAGAAGGTAGATAAAGGCAGGGGAAAGAAAGATAAGACAAACCCCCAAGCCATTTTGCTGTCTGGAGTTGACTAGATTCAAGAATACCTTGATCAGAAGCTCTACTCACTCTGGTTGCAAATGAACAATTTTGAGCAAACGATAGGCTTTTTATTAACTGACTCCTCATCGCCCTTTTGAAGCTTCAATTGTTCTTTCAATTGTTCTTTTGTCACACATATTAAAAAATGAGCTAATAAGAAAAAAAAGATGTCAGCTTCCGACAATAGTAACAGAACTTTGCTATTTTCTGGGGTTTGGGTTTTTACCTTTTTTTAAATGGAGTGTGCTGGATGTCTTTTACAATTTTGTTCAGAAAATTGCAGAATCTGAATCTGTCTATCTACCTATCTTTCATTATATATGCCATACAATTTGATTTTTTTTGTTTCAGTCTTAGGGCTTGAACTCAGGGCCTGGGTGCTGTCCTTGAGCTTTTTTGCTTAAGGCTAGCACGGTACCACATGAGCTCCACTTCTGGTTTTTTGGCTACAACTTGAATTTTTAAAAACTCTAGTTGTGCTGTCAAGTTTAGGAAAAAAGTAACCTGGTTTACTATGTTGAATTGGCATTGCACATAATTTTATAGCCATACTGGTCTAGAAACACCAAACTTATTTTTTCCATTTATGCAAGGGTAAAGCATTATATTAAATATATAAGGTCTTGTGTATGTGGTTTGATTATAGAAACTAATGAAGTATTTTCTACATTAAAAAGTTAGCTAAAATAATTTCATAGAGATTTGAAGATGTGGTCCTGACTTAACTAGAGACACCTGGCCCAGGCACACATGAGGTTGAGAGTTCTGAGGATCTGGGAAGTCAGTGACTTGGCGGCGCACGATAGCAGAAGGAAGGCCTGGTTTAGGCATGTTCAGAGAGGCTCAGAGATTTGGGCTTTTGCTGTGGAGGAAGTGATTTCAGCCTTGTGGTTTTGGGGCAGCAACCGTGAAAAGAAATGCAATGCTTCAAGATAATGAAGCAGTAAGAGAGGGGATAGCCAAAGTACAAGGTGATATCCAGAATGCTTACATCTTAATCAAATTAAGGAAAATGACCGTGATGAAAGTCTTATCCATTAAGTTCTCAGGAAAGTTTGCCCTAATTGGAACATTTCTTCTAGAGAGGTGGCTTCTGTGTGCTGCAGTGGGTTCAGTGTTTGTTTTCATTTTCTTTTTTTCTTTCCCCTGCAGTAGTCATGACTACCACCACCTGCCCCAGAGCCTACAGGATTGTTTGAACATTTACGTGTTTAAATTATCACAATTCTTAGCTAAGTATAACTATTCCCTTGACTCTAAAAATAGAAGGAAAAAACCTACAGCAGCAACAAAATCCTTTTGATGACAATGAATAGAACCTGATATTCTTATTGAAGCACTAGCTCCAATGTTAGAGATCACTGTACGTAGATGAGACATTTATCTTCTTTGTGATGCTAGGAATGGAACCCAGGGCTTTCCTCGTGCAAGGGGAGAACTCTATCATGGAACTACTTTCTTAGTTACTCATTTCACTTAATACTGTTCTTTAATCATGTTTCTTTTGAAATATTCAACACTATAAGAAGATGGCAAATCAGACCTTAAGTTTACAAGATTTAAAGGGTCTCAAATAAACTTTTCTTTGTATGGAATGTTACCTTAAGAAGAGGAGAGGAAGCACTTCAGGAAACTTCAACAATGGACATTTTGCTACATTTTCAGAATAAAAGCAAACTAACCCCACTGGTACCCCAACACTGAATCCAAGGGGACTTACAAAAGCCTTGTAGTCACATGACTGGAAGATGAGCTTCTCTGGGTGATGCTGCCAGTACTGCACTGGAGTTGAGGCTGTGGCTTCATTTGGAGGCCGCAAGGTGATAGAAGGTTCTCCCCAGTCTCCTGTCTGAAAATGACATTAATTCCAGAGGCGGTATGAGCAGCATGTGATGTTCATTCCCCCTACTCGATTAAGTTCACCTACACTTGTGTGTTGTGAATGTGCAAATGCATGCGGGCCTAACATAAGTATATGAACGCTAGCTATTAATTTTCACAGGTATTAGGGCCATATTTCCCAAAGCTAAGTTCATCTTTGAAGCGTGAAGAAGTTGCATTATTCTATTCTCAGGATAAGACCCTAAGCTAAGTGATTTTTAAGATAAAGTATGAAGACATTAATGTGATTTACTAATTCTTCGTTTTGTGTTTTAAGCCTTGACTGCTGGAAATTTTTGGTTTGAATTACTTTCAAATTAGAAATTTTGGTTTCTACATGACATGTGCCACGCACTTTGAATAATTTTCTATCTCTGGAAAAACGATTCTTTAAGTAGGATATTAATAGTAACTTTTACTAGTAGGTGGGAGCTAGTTTCTCTCACTGGAGTTCAGATGTGTAACACAGTGCTCCTGGTGCTGCTATGGATGGACTTAACCATCCTCCCTAATAAATGTAAACACCAGTGCAGACAGTGAAATGCATCTGTAGGCACATGAAAATCCTGATTCCCAAGTACAAGCACACTGCATATGACTGATACATGAGTATCAATGTGTCACATGAGTTATTAGCATCATTTCATTTCTCACTTTTATTTATTTTTAGTGGTGGCACAGGGGTTTGGACTCTACTTCTCGAGCTACGCCTCCAGTCTTCATTTATTACTTTCTATAAGTTAGGCTCAATTTGTTATTATAAAGACCTAGTGAGAATTTATGAAGTTAAAATCTGTTTTGGCAGGGTTTTTTTGACTTTAACCTGTTTTACATGTAACACATGGGATATTCTTTTGGGGGGGGAGGTACTGGGGTTTGAACTCAGAGCTTTGCACTACTTGAGCCATATTTTTGCCCCTCAAATTCTTTGCATTAGTTACTCTTTTCAGCTAGGGTCTTGTGCTTCCTTCCTGCAACTCCTTGGCCTGTGATTCTCTTTACCCATATTTCCCAGCGAGTGGAATGATGGGTGCAAACCAATCTGCCCAGTTTGTTTGTGGGGTAAGAGTCTTGCTAATTTTTCTTTTTTAATGTGTGTGGGCTGGCCTCACACTGAAATCCTGCTGATCTCTGCCTCCCAAATAGCTGGGTATATAGGCATGAGTCACTGTACCTAGTCACGTAATATTTTTTTCTTCTTCCATGGCAAAGATTTTGGTTTCACAAAGTTTAGTTCTTTGTTCTCAAATGGGCATAATTAAAGTGATTAGAGGAAGATTTACAAGCTATTGTCTTCTAACCTGAATTTGGATGGCCTTACAGATTTAGGGTAAATTATTTTCTCAGGTATTTCAAGAGTGTAAACAGGTCTCATGAGCTCCAAAACCAACTAAAATCTTGGCCACAGACCAAGTCCCATAGAAGTACTGGGAAATGGATGGACACACTGGGAGGTCTTGAGGATTTTCAGGGAGTCTGTAAAGGAATGTACACATTCAGATGTGTTTTGGGGGAAAAATGCAGTCCATGGCTTTCATTAAATTCTTTGAAAGGATGTAGAAATCCTATAGGTGAAGAAGTAAGCACAGCCTTTGAGGCTCAAATGGAGTGTGAGTCCTGAGAAGAGGACCAGCATCCCAATGATGACTGTGCAATTTAGATTTAAACTAGGTAGAGTACAAGGTAGCTGTCAAAGGTGGCCTTGCTTTCTGGAAATTTCTGTGTGGTTTTGAAAGAGAAAGGGGATTGAGAAGGGAAGTTCTCTAGTCTTTTAGGAAGAGATGGGCTCTGCCACAGCTGTGGAGGGCCAGGGGGTTTCTCCTGTTGGTGGATGACTTCAAGCATAGAACCGGCCAAGTCTGACCATTCTACGTCCACCGCGTGCACCTCACTGGAGCGTGGCACCAGGGAAGCTCCTGAAGCTCCTCTTGCTGTCTTCTGAGTCCCTCTCTGTGACTGATTTCTTCTAGTTCATGAGATTCTTGTATATTGCTTGATCCTCATAATCCCTGTCTGTTGATGTTTTTTAAATTTTACCTGTAATATTAACTTAAGCACTTTTGTTTGTTCTATGATTTCTCTCTGACTCACTTCAATTTTCTTTTCATATTTATATGGGTTTTCATTTTTTAAAAGCAATAACTGACTGCCATTAATTTTAGGATTTGTATTTTGATTTTTTTCTTTTCCTTCTTTCACAAATGCCTAGGTTTTAATTATCTTTCTAGTCTTCAACTGGCTAGGCTCTTCTCTTAAAAAAAACAAACTAGTGGCAGTTATATGGATTTCATTATTATTTTGAAGCTGAATACTAATCTTTATAAGAACTTATAACTCTAGACCTAGTGCAGCTATGACTTCTTAAATAAAAACTCCCCCAGGTGTGGCAAACCATCCTCTAATTTCTCCCATTAAACTTTTCTCGCCCTTCCCTCCTCCCTCAAAAAAGCAACAACATAGCAAACAGGTATCATACATTTAAGTCACAGAGGACATTGTTAACAGAACAACAGAATTTTGCACACAACTCTGTGGGATGATACAAAAGGAGGACCTGGGCGACATCAAAAGATCCTTCTAGCCAGTATCTGCTGATGGGACAACTCAAACCAAGCATCGTCAGTTAGCCCTACAGTTTAGCTGAGCTCTAACCTTGGCCAAGCTCAACAGGCAGTTTTCAAATAAGCCTGAACAGACATGACAGGAGCTGCGGGTACCAAAGGTTGCAGAGAAAGGATTGGAACTAGGGTTGGGGCGGGGAGAGGGAGCAGAGAGTGGGTGCAGTGAAGCTAAGGAGATGGGGACATTGTACAGGTCAGTACAGTAGGCATGCAAATCATATGCAAACACATTCTGATTGTTCAATTAGCTCACACACTTTCATAATTAAACTTCAATGTGAGTTCTGTACACTTTAAAAGCAGAATTCCAAGCCAATGCTGAACCAAAATATTTACATCATCCACAGAAGCTGTAGCAGCCACTGTGGGAATAACAAGCCCCAGCACATATACCCTCCACCTAGACATCTGCGATCTCTTACTTGATAACCACTCCACCAAATGAATGTGAACCCACTAACGGGTTAGACAGCACCATCGTCTGCTCTCCTGTGAGTCTGCTTCCCCCAAGTCACAAACCACCTGCTTTGAATCCAGAGTTATCTTTTTGCACTCCCTAGGAAGCCATGAGGGAAGATTGCTACCTGAGGGAGGAATGTAATCCTTACTTTATTTCCTTTGTAGCCTTGAAATATTGTTCCATTCCAGATATTTTAAAATTCACTTCAGGGACTGATTTGACCTTTCTGGAAATAGACACTGAATTTTTTCATACTTTGTACTCTTCCCAGAAACTCAGATTCAGAGGGGAAAGTGTGCTTAAGATTGAGCTTATAATAAATTTCTTTTCTTCCTGAAAACTCATCAACTTCCTCTCTGTTTTTTAAAAAAATCTTAGATCTACAAATATTTAGTAGAGTCTACAATGCAGATGTTGGTTAGAATTAATTTAATGGGAATGGAGAGATTCCAAACTGAATTTAACATCACACTCTTGTAGAATACAGGAATGACCTTGGACACTGCCTGAGATTTAGCTTTATCTGGTTAAGTGCGAGGAAAAGACAAAAAAAAAAACAAACAAAAAACAAAGAAAGAACCAAACAACACCCCCTTCCCCAAACCAAACCAGTTCAGAGATCTACGATGCCTTGCATCTCAACTCTGTCAGAGGTAGGAGTAGGCAAGGCAGGAGGTAGGTAGAGAAGTTATACTGAGAGGCAAAGAGACTGAAAAAGAAATAGAGATTTTCCCCTTATACATAAAATAATTTTGAACTGTGAAGTCTAGTGTTACCTCCTTTTAAATTTTTAAAATTATCTTTAAGTAGTTGCATAAGGGGATTTCAATTCAAAATATTAATTCATGAATGCAATGCAGATCTAGTGTTACCTCTTAATAAAGAGCTAACATTCATGTATGTCCAATACTTGTATCTCCCAAAGCAAACATTTTAAATTAAATCTAATTGTTTTCCCACTTTAAAAAGGCTTATTAAAAATCAGTCCTAAGAAGCATTTTCTGCAAATAATAGTTTATGACTGAAACTTCTCTTTAAGGATAAGTACATTTAAACCTCTGAAATAATGATGCAAAGATATTTTATTAGAATAATAAAACAGGAAAAGCTTGGGATAAAATTCTGTCATGGTCAAAATTCTTACTGACACAGTAGTCTTTAGAGTGCTTCCCAAGATAATTAGAGAGAAATGAAACGCTTACTAAATGTCTTTGGGGTTTAAGATCCTTAGAGAAAATCTTTCCTTTAGGTTAATAGATGTAAATGATCTCAATATTCTAAGAATTTGATCATGGCTTAAAACCTCATTTCTTTGGTATTTGTTGGCTATTTATATGTATGCCTTAAGGGTTTTTTAGTTTTTATAAATATGGACATCCATTAAATAGAAGCAATATACATGGTTAACTATCACCTCAAAAATAAATAAAATTTAAACACTCCAAAAAATTAACCTTCCACCACTAAGAGAAAACCTCATTTGAGATCACAGTTTAAAATAGAGTGTTGGTTCTGGCTAACAGGCTCTTGCCAACTGCCAATCATAAGCTCCTAGTCTGGTTTGGCTTGGAGGACTATAATTGGGCCACATATAATACAATGCAATTAAACATTCTCTAATATGATCAGCTGAAAAATGTAAAGACACTGTGAATTTAATTACAATATCTGAGAAATTCACAAGCGTCTACAGATAGATTTGTACTGCATGGCAGACAGCAAAAGATGCAGTTTTAACCTTTGCAGTATTTCAAAACATGGTAAAGAGCTACAAGTTTAGAGTTCATGTGCACCAGATACCTAAGGCAATTTCTAAAACAGATCTTATTATGTAGCTCTCTCCTCCACAGGGAAAATGAATATTACATACTACATGTGCTCTGAGAGTATAAAGGGGAAACATGGTCTACATTCTTATTTTTCTTTAAATAGAGAGATTTCCTAAGGATGTCAGTAAATAATTAAAAGCCATGATTATGACTTAGCTTTCTAACATTAGCAGAAAGATATGGTATTTTCTAAGTCTTGTATTATTATTCTTTTCAAAATTAAAAAAAATTACAATTTAATTGAATCTTTTAAATAGAAGCTTTTAAATCCATTCTGTTAGGAACAGTTCCCACCTACTTGCTTGTAAATTTAGATCTGAATATTAACAAACATTCTCTATTTCTTCAGAATACTTAATGAAAAGATAAAACTAAAATGATTTTAAATGACAACTGCCACCTTAAGGTTTTACTTTTAACAATTTTGACAAATTTCAGAAGTGGGCTATTCAAGCATACATGAGATACAGGTGATTCATTTACTGCCTGCCATCTCTAAGGCTTTGAAGAAGGCTACATTGGAGCTCTAGGCTTATAAATCCATATGCATATTTAGAAGTGATTATAAGGGAAGGTCTTCAAGGAGCAGTCACCCAAGTGAAAGCAGGGCACTGTAATAGTTCTTTGAAAAAGTCTTCAAGAATGAGTAATGCGGGTCTGGCCAGATGCTGTTGGTTCTACCGAATTTGTTCTTTTGAGGAAGAGCAGAGATGGCTACTTCTGAACACATAAAAGCTTAAGCTAGCATTTATGAGTTCAGGAGGAACTGCTAGGTGATGGAAGCACCAGTACCAAGCAACGTACAGACATCACAGCCTTGAAGAACCAGAAATCCCATGCGTGGGAGAACACATGTGCCAGATGTGCCATCCCAAGAGGCCCTTCACATGCCACTTCAAGAATTCAGTGATTCTCAACCAAATGTCCCAACCTCTCAGACAGCACAGCATCCAGTGGGGAAGAATTTCACAGTACTGCATTTTGAAATACAAATTTAAAGTACTGACTTTTCAAACAATTAGGATTTTTCCCCCTAATGTAAAGGTGAAGTGCAAATATCTGGATATTTAGCAGCTCAAAGTAAAATGGCTCTCAGTTCCCTGCACATTGCAAAGATCAATTCAGTACTGTCAAACAGAAAAAGGCTGAGAATCACCTCATAGCTGTAACAGTGCTTTCTAGGGCTGTGCACCTCCCACATTTGCATCAAATATATCAGAATTTCATGCAAACCATTCTCAGTCTTTCTCACAAGGAAAGCGCATGAATCTTTGAAAGTTATTGGACACAAGGGGCTGAACAGCCCATGGACATGGGGGAAGTACAAAATATGGAAAATAACACTGATATATATGTATATCTATATATCTATATACTTATAGATATATATCTATGTCTCAATCAATCAATATACCCTTTTCATTTTCCTGTAAAAGCAATTTAACACAGATGCTGGAATGAAAGCCAAAGCTCACGTGGACGACTTTTAACTGTAGACTTTAAAACCATGTATGTTTCTCATTTAGGACAATGTTTACACATCAACCAGTCAAACAAGGCACAGTAAATGAAGTATAATAGACAATTTCAGGAGTCATTAGACATTACAAATTTTCTGCATTGCCAGACATGGTACTTGTAGCTAGTGACGACACCCTGCAACACATCACACAGCGCGAATTCAGGAAGAGAAAATAACCGTTTGTAACCTTACATTATGAACCTGATGGATCGCTGAGAAAGGAAATCCAGCATTCTGATTCGTCCATATCTCACAGACAGACGACTGCTGATATAAAAGAAAACTATCTTATCTTGTCAATATTTAAAACATGACTGCTACGAAGGTAGCATCCGGAAAGGGAAGGAGGAAAACTTTAATAAAATGTAAGAATCACATTTCTTGAAAAAAAAAAAACCCTCAATGGTTTAGGGCATAACTGACTTCAAAATAATTCTTTTTGATTAAAAATAGTTTGGGTTGGCTGGAGGAAAAAAGGCTATTTATACACTACTGTTAGATCAAGGGAAATTACCAATACATTCACCTCTCAGAGAAAGCAAACTGTTCATAACAACTGCCAAAGTTACTTTCAGAGGATAAATGTTTTTTATTAAGAAAGAGGGAAACTTTAGTTGTGCTGTCAACTTTGGAAAAAGTACCAGTTTACTGTGTTGAGTTGGTATTGAACAGAAATTAATGGCCATATTGGTCTAGAAACGTTAAGCTTAATCTTCTTCCATTTGTACAGGGGTAAATGCACTGCATTAAAATGTAAGTATCCTCTAAATAAAAAAAAAAGAAAGAGGGAAGAAATCTTTAAAGTGAGTCACTTTTTCTTCGCTTCAATGACCAAGAACAAACAATACAATACAATGACTTTCCTGATTTAGTGATTGCTCCACTTGGTAAACCTAGGTGATGTCCATACCTCCAGGATTCTATGGGCAAAGCTGTATGGCTATGAGTTTGCCACTCAGCAGTGGGTACGATGTTGGAGGCAGCAGAAGAGGAGGAGAGCAGGGAACAGGGGTCAGGGAGGCTCAGCTCTCTTAATCAAATAGAAACTTCTGGAAACAGCATTTGTGAATTGAATGAATCAGTTCCTTAATTGAGTTCTCTACCACACTGTTTACAACTTATGGCAATAATGTTTGCTTACAACTAAACACCAAATTAACCAACACTAGAGCAGAAAGCATCAAGCAACCTTGCCTGAGCTCCAGGCCTGACCTTTTCAGAGTTATTTTCCTGAATGCTGTCATTCTAAAGGACACTGTGAAATTAAATCAGTAAATGGTTGAGTGCCTGAACCTACAAAGTAAGCACGGAGAGCATCTCCAGAATTCACACTTGGACTCAAAAAGCTCGGATCACTGCAGAAGGAGATAAACATGCACCCACAATTCGGCTTAGAAATCCAGTCAAGAACAATAACAGCAGCAAACAAACTATGGAAAAACTCATCCTTGGATAAAACCTTCACAGCTATCCTCCTAGAAGTTAAGCATCTTTCTCATTGACAGCTGTGTCTCCATCCACATCTCTCCTTTGGCTTGCCAATGCCTGGTAATCTGGACAGCTTGCTGGGGACAGTCACGTATGTGGTACTCTGTAAGGGAGTTAGGTCTCTAACCTCTGGCCATCACCTCCCATTTGAACTTTCTCTGCTATTCTTGGCTCCCTCTCTAAACATCATGCCATTCCCCCCCCCCCAAAGGGATCTTCTCCTGACCTTAAAAAAAATTAGTCCTTTAGAAAGTTAACTCTGGTCCATTTATCTTGCCTCTCCTTGTCTCCAATAGTTACCATCTGACTTAAATACACAGTTGTCTTTTGATATCTGTTGGGGATGGGTTCCAAGACTCCCAGCAGATACCAAAATTCAAGAATGCTCAAATCCCTGATATAAATTATTATGACATATTCCAATGCTATACATTCATTATACTGTATAGTTTAAGGAAGAATGACTAGTAGAAATATATACATGTTCACTGAAATTTTTTTTTGTCAGTGTGGGGCTTGAACGCAGGGCCTGGAGTTCTCCCTGAGTTCTTTTTGCTCAAGGCTAGCACTGTACTACTTTGAGCCACAGTATCACTTCCTCAAATATTTCTTTTTTTTTTAGATTTCTTTTTTTTGGGGGGGGAGGGTGTCTGATTGTGAGGCCTGAACTCTGGGCCTGGGCGCTGTCCCTCAGCTCTTCAGCTCAAGGCTAGCGCTCTACCACTTGAGTCACAGCGCCACTTCCGGGTTTTTTTTCTTATGTGGTGCTGAGGAATCGAACCCAGGGCCTCAGGCATGCAAGGCAAGCACTCTACCACTGAGCCACCTTCCCAGCCCCTTCCTCAAGTATTTCTGATGCCCATATTGGTTGAATGTACAGATACAAAACTCAAGGACACTGAAGGCTACCTTGTACTAACTCAAGGCTGGCTGGATCACCATCTTTACTGGTATCAAATGTTCTTCCAGGATATCCTTTACCCTTTCAGCACTGTTTTTATGTCCCTGAGCTTATTCTTCACAGCTTCTACCATCTTCATGCACTTCTAGTACCAGTGTCACCACTGGTCAGCAGATGGATGAAGACTAACACTCGCAGATTCAGTAGTTTGCTCAGGTACACAGGGAAGGCTCTTCTGGGGTGGATAGGAAGGTCTGCAAACCTGGTACCCACTGTGCTAGGAGGCAGAGGGGAGCTACAATAACAAGGGACTTGTTTGAATTTGAAACAAGTATACAGAAATGCAGCTACTTCACAGAACAGTTTAGAATCCAAGGCATCCAAATACCTAAAGCTTTGAGATTTTCAATCATTACACCCCAATGGTTCTTGCCAGTTTCTCTGCCCTGATGGGCACCAAGCAACTTATCATTCTGGGTCAAAAGCATAGCTTCCTGATCACTTTTGAGTCATGAAAAATCAACTTTGTGTCAAACTCTTAGCTTATACATGATCCCAATTTCTCTTAATAGTCCAGCCTTGGTCCTTAAGATATGTATGTATCAGATGCTTGGGTGTACTTTGCCTTCTCCTGGGAAAAGGGAGAAGCAAGGTGAATGGCAACTCTCAGGAGGTCTGGACCTCAAGCGCTACTTCCTTACAATGTTTAGCTAGAGAAGAATGGGAGAAGAATGGAGCTTTTCTCTTGTCCTTCTGTGGCTGAGTTCTCTCTACAGCAAACACTAGGATAGGATACAGGGGAGAGGTATGAAATTCTAATCTCCTACTGCATATCACGAGATCCACATGCTATGTAAACACCTTGTCACAAAGGATGGCAGAAGGACAGGCTGCTTGACCAATACATTCATTCTCTGCCAAGACATCCCTAAATGTCTCTTCTTAGGCTATGTAATTTACCTGCCAGAAGTCTAACCTGGAGAGAGCGGCCAGTTCTCCTTCCTGACCAGCATCCCTAATCTGGATGCAGAGTCTCTAAGGCCACTAAGCTGGTGGAGCATAGGGACACATTGTCCTCTCACCCATGGGAAGGTGGGAAAAGCCTTAGCCCTTCCACTGGGGACTGTCAGTTCTTGCCTTTCCTCAGCTCCAACTAATCTTCTGCACCTATGCGCAGGTGTGTACTGTGGCAAGGTAGACTCAACAGCTCTTGGCAAGCCCTGTAGAGTTGTGTGTCTGTACTGTGTGGTACTTAGTGCCTTCAGGACAAGTATCACTTCTATGGCTACATGAAGGTATCTTCTGACAGCAACAAGGTTACCAGAGTTACAGAGGGAAGAGAAGATCCCATGCTGTACTTAATTTATTTGATGAAATTCATTAGTTCAACAAAGGGGAAAACACCCTCACTTCCAGAGATATACACTGAAGCGTGGCTTCAGCATATGTAAAGAGGTATAATAACTATTTTCTTTCTTTTTTTCTTTTTTGGGTCCGGTCATGGTGCATGAACTCTGGGCCTAGGCGCTGTCCCTCAGCTCTTCAGCTCAAGGCTAGCGCTCTACCACTTGAACCACAGCGCCACTTCCGGCTTTTTTCTTTTTGCTTAGGTGGTGCTGAGGAATCGAACCCAGGGCCTCAGGCATGCAAGGCAAGCGCTCTACCACTGAGCCACCTTCCCAGCCCCTATAATAACTATTTTCTATTTATAAGCTATATCTAAAACTCAGAAAAGCAAAATCTTGATAATTTCTAACAGTTTTAAGAGTCAACATAAATGACAAGAAGTCATATTTTAAAAGTTATTTTTTCAGTTAATGTAATCTTTTTTTTTTTTTAAAGCAGATACAGTCTAGACAGTCATTTTATTGGCAGTAAATAATTTACTAGGCTCACAGAAAAGCAAGAGCAGGTATATGAGCTGTAACTAGTGTTTCCATACTATGAACTAGTTCTTCTCCTGAAGACAGGGCTATGAGACTAGGTGCTGGAACACAATTTAAATACAGGAGAGTTCTTGCCATACAAATTCATTCTATTTATGAAGACACCGAGTGAAGGAATATGTATTGAAGTACTGAATTTTGAAAAGAAAATAGGATGCCAGTAATAAAATTTCATCTGGGGCCTAAATTCCTAGAAAAGCAGTGATGTAAATCGCAGTTGTAATTAAATCTTAGGTCTTTCTCTGCAGAGAATAATAGTCTTGACCTACTTACTTCACCAGGTTGTCACACTACCCAGGTTAAGCTTCAGGAGGGAGGGAGCTTTCTCACAGCTAAATTTCCAGGGCCTGAAACACAACAGGCTCTCAGGCACATTTACTGAATGGATGGAGTCTTAAAAATCCTTGGTTAAGTGGTCAAGCATCACGAACATTAGTCACTGATATTATTTGTAGTAGTTGCCACTAGTAAACTATGTCACTACCAACACACTTCCGGTAAAATACACCAGACATTAACCTTGCAGACTTCTTGTTAGAAGAGTCCTCATTTTTTTCCTGATAAAATTCTGACACAGGCCTGCCAGCTTTGCTGAAGAGAAAAGGAACATTTGTCATTACTGCTCCCTTCTGTCAAAGGGCTGCTTGTAGAGAGCTCGGAACAATTCTGTAAATGTGTGTTAATTACCTCTTTGCAATTTCATTTGTTCATTAATATTCTCTCCCATCTCTTTTCCACCTATACTGCAAAAGTTAATTTGGATGATCTGAACTTGAATTAAAATGAAATCCAAATATGGGACTTAAGATATAGTAGTTTTAGAATTTCAGTATTATCAATATTTGAATGCTCATTTCTTTGGTGATGCAATCAATGCACATTGGAAGGTGTTTATTTTTAGTTCAGACTTCTCCTTTGACTCTGCAAAA